TTTTTTTGTAAATTTGATTTTTTTATGTTTGCTTTAAATTTTTTTGCTAGTCTTTTTCTGTTATTAATTTTTGCATTTTAAATCTCTCCCATCCCTCTTTTGTCCTTTTTTTTTTTTGCTTTTGGGGGCAATTACGATGGACGTTTTTTCTTTTCTACTCTTCCCTCTTTTAATTGTTTCTTCTGCACTCTTCCTGTGAGGGGTACCGTGTGTTTCCCGCCCAACTGCTCCACTCGCAAACCCACCGACACGCTCATGACGACGGCCCTGTGCGCCTCGCCTGCTGCACGCATGAGGAGGGGCCGCGACGAACGGCGCGCTGAGGGAGCCGTGACGTGTGGGCGTGCGACGAGGGCCTGTGAGGCGGAGCACACATTTCTTTCCCTCTTGTTTTGTTTTCTTTGCGGCCAGGGCGGGCAGACACCCGCAGCGCCACACACACAGCCACACGCTGCCGCCGTGTTTTTTTTCTTTTCTTTTTTTTGTGGATGGTGTGTGCTGCCACCGTGCGTGATTGTTGAGGTTGTGGCCGTACCGCATGCATCGCTGCCATCCAGCTGTGCCTCTTGCTGTGCTGATGTGCCTCCCTGTTCTCCTCCTCTTTGCAGCTTCTCCAGCACACACCCACACACATAAGTAGTTGCACAGTGCTCTGCAAGAATGTATTTGCACTGCCGGTTGCGTGCGTTGCTCGGTGTGTGCTGGCGCGTGACGAACGCTGCCACGATGGCCTCCTCTGGCGATGACAGTCGCTGTGTTCTCGGCACACACTTCCACACACTCTTCCTTGTCTCTCTGTGGGAGTGATTGCAGCAGCAGCGTGGTCTACGGCAGCGGCTGTTGGTGCTGCGGAGAAGGTCTAGGCGCCGAGGAACAAGAGGGCGAAACTGCTGGACGCGATTACGATGGCGGATGAAAGCTGTTTCGTTGCCTGTGCTTCGTACATTGCTAAGAGTGCGCCGTGTCGCCGCCTGACGGGATGCCTGCACTCGGCACCCCTCGAGGCATTGTGTTGTTTCATTCAGTATGATGTCACAATAATCAGGGCAGCATCTTCCCTCAACGGCTCTGAGTGTGACAATACGAATGACGGCAAAGGGAGCGATGAGGATTATGGTGACGACTTGCACCGGGGGGCGGATTATTTGCGTGTCTCGGCACACGAATCCCAGGAGGGTTTGAATGCCGTCCCCACAATCCCCGGCCTTGCGAAACCGTTGGCTTTCGCGTTGTCACCCACCGTAATTAGTGCCCCATGCGTTGAGGCTGATCCATTTGCCGTGGAGTTCACGCAGCAGCTCTCGAGTGGTTATGCTGTTGGTCCTGCGTTGGTCCTTTTGCATGTATTTCAGCGTTGCCTGGCGTGTGATTTGATGTCTGTGTTGTCCAGGCCGCCGCCTCCGGTTTTCTTTTGGTGCCCAATAAGAAACTCTTTGCGTTGCGGTGGATATTTACTTGCGTGGCCGTTGATGCACGTGACGATGCTCAACGGGTGTGTCTTTTGTTTGGTGGGCACGAGGGAGACTTCGGTGTGTGCCGACATCTCCGCGAAAGACTTCGTTGACGGATCGAGGCGAAAATAAGGGAGGTCTGTCCGCTGCATCTCTCAAGGCAGCTGCGAGGCACTCCGGACGCACAGAGTGAATGGATGGATGCCGCGCAGCTGGGGAGACCAGTTTTCTTCTCCGCCCTCCGTTGCCGGGGGAATCGAGAATCCACAGCGTCACTGCCACCTGCATTTCACTGCTGGGGATCGACTGTTCTGAAGTTGCCCGTCTAATGTGAGTCGCAGCGCCAATGCAGGAAGACACTTTCACGCATTGCGAGTAGTTGCTCCAGGCTCGAGCTCATCAATACTTACAGCAGGGAGCAATGCATCTTGGTGGCCGGTGACGTTCAGACGAGTGTGTTTCACTTCACCCGCCTCGTATTTGTGAGGGACACTGCGCATCGACCCTCCCCAACAGTCCCACCACCTTCACTTTCCCCCGCCGACCGCTGCCATCTGCTGACGGTACAGTTGTTTGGCTCCGCCAATAATGCGCTCGTGAAACGTCCTCTCCGCACTCTGCAGGATTATTGCCGTGGAGGAGTTGATGGCATATGGTGCGGGTGTGGCGTCGACAGAGTCATCCACGCATTGTCTTAGAAACATTACTTTGAGTCGTGTCAGTCATGCCGTGTTTTTCTTTTCTTGCTGGGAGTCCTGTGGGTTTGTTTGAGCCCTTTTAGGAGCCTGTGTAGAGAATGATCGCGGGAGAGCTGGCTGCCTTAATGAATGTATATATATATATATATATCCTGATAGAACGAATATACACTTCTTTACGACACTTTTCTACCGTATGAGTTTTGGGAAGGCCACGACTTTAAAGAGCCGACAGCGGCCGGATAATTTTTATTTTTATTTTTACCATCGCACCCACCCCCTTTTGGTTCCCACCACGCGGCGGTGTCTTGTGGCTGCAGGACCCCAAAAGTCTGCCACCTCGTAAGTAATAAATAAATATATGTATCCTATCCGAATAGAGTGGGCGGGCCACGATTGTGGCTAACGGATGGTATATATATATAAACATGCGTTTATTTGCCTCGTGTTGAACTTTGAGGATGTGGTGAATCCACTCTTATTCCGTTGATCCCTCACTTATTTCTATCCTGTTTGGTTTCTATTATTGAGAAACTCAGGATTCGGCCAGCGGCCCAGAAGATTATTCTTTATTGCATCACCTTATCAAAGGGAAGCAGGAACAACACAAACCGAATTATTGGCTGCACCAACACAAGAAACATTCACAAGAGGAAAGAAAAATAATAATTGTGCACCCTGCAGAAATCCCCAACACACGACCCAGGCATGAAGGTTTGCCCTCTGAAAAGATAACACGAAACGCATGCAGACATCTGCCAACATTCAAACAGAAACACAAATAAATGGTTGCTTGCATTATTCCATTCCTTGAGCCTATTTTTTCGTGTGCGGCTGCTGCTGTGATGGTGGCTACGGTTGCATGAAGTGGTGTGCGCTGAATATTAACGAAGGCCAAAGGTAACTGAATTGTTTTTGTGATGAATATTGGCTGCACTTCCCATGGACCAACAATCCACGTGGTGTGCGGGGATCTCTCCTTTTTTATTGTTACTTTGCTTTTGTGTTGCTGTGTGCGCTACATCTATTCTCTTGTGTGTGTGCGTACACTCCGTGAGGGGTGCCGACACGACGGACCGCTCTCGCCGTATGTGCATGCGGTGAAGCCTTGTGTGCCGCTCCTGTTTGCTTCTCCCTCCTCCATCTGTGTGTTGGTGTTGCGGCAGGGCTGTTTGTGTGTGTGTGCCTGTTGCCGTGGATTGGAGTGTGTGTCGTGCGTGGTGTGCGGCGTACGGTGCATGCCTGGCTGCTGCCCTCTCATGTGGTGTGCCCTCTGTGTGTGTCTGCCGCACCTCTCGTCTCCCCTGTTGCTCTCCATGTCCCTCACTGTGCAGATCAGCTCCACACAACTGAACGACCACACTCACGATGATGACGTGCCGTCTGCTGTGCGTCCTGTTGGTGCTCGCCCTGTGCTGCTGCCCGTCCGTCTGCGGGATAACAAGTGAAGATACAACTGGCAAAGCTGGAGAAGAATCCGATCAAAAGGATAAAAAGCCAGCGAAACCAGGTGGGGTGACGGATTCGCAGAGTACTTCCTCTTCGCCACCGACAGGAGAGGAGGAGGAAAGGAAGGAGGAACAGGAAACAAGTACGCCGACTCATACGTCACAGGAAACGGCTACAATAACCGAAACGCCACAGTCACAAACTACTTCCAATAATACACAGGATCAAGATGGTGGCAAGTCTAAAGGACGGACAGAACATACGAATACCGTTACGGCAGATGAACAAAAGAAGGCCGTCGCACCAAGTACGACCACGACAACCACTAGAACAACGACTACTACAACTACGAGTACCACGAGTACAGAGGCGCCAACTACGACGACCACCCGCGCACCGTCACGTCTTCATGAAATCGACGGCAGCCTCAGCAGCTCTGCGTGGGTGTGTGCCCCGCTGGTGCTCGCCGCATCCGCGCTGGCGTACACCACTGTGGGCTGAAGAGGTGTATGCGGGCTGTGCGTGCCAGCACTCAACCGCGGGGATTTGTGCGCGTCCACTGTGGTCCGATGTAAATAAATACGAGAAAATAATGATTGTGTTTTGCTTCATTTGCTTCTGCTGCCCTGCTGTGTGCTCCGCGTTGTTCCCCACATCCGTCACGTTGAACGCATCCCAGACACACTCATATGCACGACACGCACACAACTGTTTGCGTGGACGCATTTTTGGGTGCTGTTGCATGTGCACTGGAGCCATACTGTGCAGCCCTTTGTTTTTTTTTTTTTTTTTAACATTTTTGATTTATTGCTTTTTTTTGTGCTTTTTTATCTGTGTTTACTGATTCCAACTGCTCCATGGTGTGTGCAAGCGGTCATCATTTGTCACTGTGTGTGGTGTAGCGGCCGTGTCTTTTCCTTTCACTCTGCGTTGACGGGGAGTTAGTTTGTGCTGAAGGCTGCACGCAAGTGACAGGAGTGATGGCGATGATGATGACTGGCCGTGTGCTGCTGGTGTGTGCCCTCTGCGTGCTGTGGTGCGGTACTTCTGGAGCCGCTGCTGATGTTTCTGAGGAGATGGCGGATCTTTCATCTTCTGAAAGGTCCCAAATGCTACAAAATGTGTTATCTGAGCCTACGGATGGAAAAGAAAGTTTGGAGCACAATTCCTGCCTTGAGAGGCTGGGGTCGGATGTAAATACCGCGGAATGTACGAAGGCGAAGACAAACAATTCGGATGCCATTTCTACCGATCCGTTATCGCCGTCACACGCGCCCAGTAACCCAAATCCCGAGAAGGGCCTACAGCCTGTTGCGCCACCTACCGGGCCTGTTCAGGCACATCAACCCAACCCGATGCACGTTAAAGGAGTTGTGGAGGAAGTACGGGAAGAGGATGACGAAGGAAAAAGAAAAAAAGAACTTGAAGAGCAGAATAAACAGAAAAATCAAGAAGGTCACGAAAATCCATCGTCACGTGAAAAACCCTCAGTAATAAAAGCAAATCAACCTGTAGGACAAGAAGCAACGCTACAAGGAGACTCAGCGCAGCAGGGAAGAAAGCACCAGGAAGGAACACCAGTACAA